TAAACAGTATTTTCTCTCATTGACGCGAATCCATGACGCGACCTTCCCGTTGAGGCGGGCGTCAGGTACTTCGTGCCCTGGATTGCCTCGAGGTGGGGGTTTTAAAACAGTACTCCCTGACGCGATCCCGTTGATGGCGGCGTCCACGGTTCTTCGTGCCCTGGATGGCCTCGTGAGGTGGGCTTTTTACAGTACTCATGACGCGACTCAGCCGTTGGATGACGCGTCCAGGTAACTTTATGCCCTAGATCGGCTCGCTAAGGTCACGGCTTTTTAATAAACAGTACTCAGTCGACTGGATACGCTTTCAATGACCTCACCGTTGACTCGGACGGCGTCCAGGTACTCTCATGCCCTGGATGGCCTCGTAAGGTGGGCTTTTAACAGTACTCCATGACGGACTTTCACCGTTGATGAGCGGGCGTCCAGGTACTCGATGCCTGATGGCTCATAAGGTAGGCTTTTTATACACTACTTGACCATGAGCGATCACGGTTGATGGCGGCGTCCAGGTAGCTTCTGCCCTGGCAGTGCCTCGTAGGTGGGGGCCTTTTTAACAGTAACTGCAATGACGCCGACTCACCGTTGATGCGGGCGTCCGGTACTTCGTGCCCTGGATGGCCGTCGTAGGTGGGCTTTTTAAACAGTACTCCTTCCATGGGCGACTTCACCGTTGATGGACGGCGTTCCCAGGTACTTTCATCTGCCCTGAGATGGTCCTCATAGGAATGGCGCTTTTTATAACAGTACTCCATGACGCGACTCGACCGTTTGATGGACGGCGTCCCCAGGTACTTGTGCTCAGGCTTGGTGGCCTCGTAGGTTGGCTTAAAAAACAGTACTCCATGACGCGACTCACCGTTGATTGGCGGGCGTCCCAGGTCCACGTCCCTAGATGGTCTCCTAATAGCTTTTTACACTACTCTGACGCGACTACCGTTGATGTGGCGGCGTCAGGTTTGTGCCCTGGATGGCCTCGTAGGTGGGACTTTTTAAACAGTACTGATCCATGAACGCGACTCACCGTTGATGGCGGCGTCCCAGGTACTTCGTAGCCCGTGGATGGCCTCGTAGGTGGGCTTTTTAAAAAACAGTATTTACTCCATGACCGCGACTCAACCGTTGAGGCGGGGCGTCCAGGTACTTCGTGCCCTGGAATGGCCTCGGTAGGTGGGCTTTTTAACAGTACTACTCCATGACGCGGACTCACCGTTGATGGACGGCGTCCAGGTACTTCATGCCTAGATGGTCTCATAAATACGCGCTTTTAATAACACTACTCCATGACGGACTCACCGTTTGATGACGGCGTGCTCAGGTACTCATGCCCTGGAAATGGCCCTCGCTAGGTGGGGCTTTTTAACAGTATCATGACGCGACTCACCGTTGAGGGCGGCGGTCCAGGTACTTCAATTGCCCTAGATGGTCCTCATAAAATACGCTTTTTACTAACACCCCTACCCATGACGCGCACTCACCGTTGATGACGGCGTCCAGGTACTTATTTCATGCCTGGATGGGCCTCGTAGGTGGGCTTTTTAACAGTACTCCATGACGCGACTTTCCACCGTTGATTTGGCGGCGGTCCAGGTACCTTCTGCCCTGGATGGCCGTCGTAGGTGGGGCTTTTTTAAACAGTACTCCAGAGCGACTCACCGTTGATGACGGCGTCCAGGTACTTCTGCCTAGAGATGGTCTCATAACTATACCGGCTTTTTAAATAATAAAAACACTAACCGAACTCCATGACGCGACTCACCGTTTGATTGACGGCGTCCAGGTCTTTTTCTGCCCTGGATGCCTCGTAGTGGGCTTGTTTAAAAAAAAAACAGTACTTTTCCATGACGCGACTTCACCTTGATGCGGCGTCCAGGTACTTCATGCCCTAGATGGTCTCATAATCCGCTTTTTATAACACTACTCCATGACGCGACTCACCGTTGATGACGGGTCCAGGTACTTCATGCCCTCGGATGGCCTCGTAGGTGGGCTTTTTAACAGTACTCCATGACACGCGACCTCCACCGTTTGATGGCGGCGTCCAGGTACTTCGTGCCCGGATGGCCCTCGTAGGTGGGCTTTTTAACAGTACTCCATGACGCGACTCAAACCTTGATGACGGCGTACCAGGTACTTCATGCCTAGATGGCTCATAAATACGCTTTTTATAACACTACTTCCATGACGCGACTCACGTTGATGAAACGGCGTCCAGGTACTTCATGCCCTGGATGGCCTCGTAGGTGGGCTTTTTAACAGTATCCATGACGCGACTCAACCGTTGATGGCGGCGAGTCCAGGTACTTATGCCCTAGATGGTCTCATAAAATCCGCTTTTTATAACATACTCAGAACGCGACTCACCGTTGATTGACGGCGTCCATACTTCATGCCCTGGATGGCCTCGTAGGTGGCTTTTTAACAGTACTTCGCATGAACGCGGTATTTACCGTTGATGGCGGCGTCCAGTACTTCTGCCCTGGTGGCCTCGTAGGTGGGCTTTTTAACACTCTCCAGATGACGCGACTTCACCGTTGATTGGCGGCGTTCGGTACTTCATTCCCTGGTGGCCCTCGTAGGTGTGGGCTTTTAACAGTACTCCATGGACGCGAACTAAAAGCCCACCTACGAGGCCATCCAGGGCACGAAGTACCTGGACGCCGCCATCAACGGTGAGTCGCGTGATGGAGTAGTGTTAAAAAGCGTATTTATGAGACCATCTAGGGCACGAGGTACCTGGACGCTGTCATCAACGGTGAGTCTCGTCATAAAGTACTACAAAAAGTCTACCTACGCGACCATCCAGGGCATGAAGTATCTGGATGTTGTTATCAACGATGAGTCTCCTTCTGGAGTACTGTTAAAAAGCCTACCTAAGAAGCCATCCAAGGCATGAAGTACTTGGACGCTGTCTTCAACGGTTAGTCTCATCGTTCATGAGTGCGTTAAAATCCCATGTATGAGGCCATTCAGGGTTTGAAGTACTATCTTTTCATAATTATGAGTATTATCCACCCTTTACATGATTACTCATGGGCCTCGCAATTGGAGGATCCATACCTCCAATAAATAAATTCATGAAAAAAGAGGATTAGGGAGACCAAAATCATATTCTTAGATATGAACAATCAATGAACTTCTCCTTTGAGCAGTCGATGCATGGTTTTCAATTACGTCTCGCCCACGTTTGATTTCTGTGATTCTTGACCGGCGCGTGTTTGTCGTCGCAGAGGCGCTGCGCATGTACCCGCCGGTGGTGGCGGTGGACCGGATGTGCCGCGAGGACTTCGTCCTGCCGCCCAGCGCCACCTCCCCCTCCGTGCACATCCGCAACGGCGACATCACGTGGGTGCCCATCTACGCGCTGCACCACGACCCCGAGCTGTGGGAGGAGCCCGACAAGTTCGACCCCGAGCGCTTCAGCGACGAGAACAAGCACCGCATCAAGCCCTTCTCGTACGCGCCCTTCGGCCTGGGCCCCCGCCTCTGCATCGGTAAGGCAGCGCCCTGCGGCTCGCGACGTCGGAGAAGCCTCTCTTCCTAGATGATGACATTCCTCACAAATGAATCGTTTTTTCAGACACCCGTCAAACGCCAAAATCTAAAATACGCATTAGCGCCGAATTATTGTACCCAGAAGATTGACACATCATTTAGTGCATATTTATATGAAGTATGATGTTTAATAAATAAAAATATTTTGAAATCTGATAAATTGGGAGGTTTTTCTCTGTTTTCTGAAATAAATTTGGCGATTGACGAGTTTCTGAAATAAACGATTCAATTGGATAAAAATATATTTATTAATAGAAAATTATTTTACATGACGATAAAGTACCTTTATTGTCATGTGCAAATCTCATGTTCAAATTTTATATTATCATCATCATCAAATTTTATATTATTCCAATTTTCAGTAAAACACGAATTTTAAAAAAATGTTAGTTTGTCAAGACAATTAGTTTGCCATGAAGCCGCCAGGAGCGCGTGTGCCTCTGACCGGAGAACCCGGGAGTGTTGATGATGGATTGATTACTAGAGATTCCGGGCGCTTCAACTGCTAAGGTCATTGGTCCCGTAAGGATTGTGCATGCTTTTGCTCTGACGGTGGCGATGATGTTGCCCCACTGGATGGCGAGATCCGACAATAACCTACCGTCGGCTAGCGGGTTTTTTCATCAACCAGATATCTCCCACCTCCCTAGCCCGGACAAGCTCTAAGCTCCGGTCTCCCGGAAGCGAGTACTTTTTTGACAAACGGCAAAACTTTTTTAGATTTCATCCAATGATAAATCGTTTTATAAGATATGTATCCCACTTCAGATCTGTTTAAAAATAAGAAATTGTTAACGCACTTCCGATTATCCCACATCCTTATCCAACGTAAATTTTGTGTTATTCAGTGTTATCCTACGTAAATATTGTAGTTATTCATGTGTCGGAATATTCAATAATCAAATTGATACTTGAAATTCTTGGATATCTCAAAAAACACTATTAAACAATGTACTTTTACCACTCTGAGATCTTATCAACCATATCGAAGACGGCATGGAAGACGCAACAAGTCATATTAGTGAGTGACTGTTGGTATGTGGTTGATAAGATTGCAGAGAGATCGGACACGGACGCGGTCGGACCACGGGAAAGTACCGATCAGAGCAGACGGACGGTATAATTCTCCTTCAGACAGCGACGGAACTCTACCCAGCTATCTGGCTCGAGTCGAAAATGCTTCAACGGACGGGGCTCGAACACCAGAACCTCTCTGACGGTCAGAGGCACTTCACCTGTGTTGTTGGAATATATTGTTTGCTAGTAAGAAGCGTCTGCGACCTTTTGAATGAAATAAAATATACAAAATATTCCAACTGGAAAATCAAAGTTGTTTCGGGGAAATATCTTCTTTTTGAGTAATTAGAGCAAAAAAAATTCCGTAATCGTGGTAAAAGCGTGAAGGAAAATAGAATAGGATATTTGTCGGAGTGAAGGTGGTTTATATCATTTCATTCTTCTTCAGAACTACAAGTTTTCAGCAGAAACTACTCATGAGCTTAATGTTATATATTTATCGTAAATATCGAAAACGATATGTGACGTATGTATTTTCAATAGAAAAAGAGTAAACGCTATGTGATGTGTGCAAGTGTGGTTGAAAAGATAATATGATACATTTACGAAGTAAATTTTCTGTAGATTAGCGAAACAAAGGTACGACTCAGCAGTTGTGTAATTGACCAAGGGTACCTACATGATAAATCTACCCACTGACTCGAAAGCTGATTAAAATTCTTGATTCATATTCAGTCTTTTAGAATAATACAACACAAAAAGAAACTAATGTAATAATATAATTATTTTTAACATATCAGACAAAAACTAATAGTAAAATATTATTAAAGATTGAGTTCTGAAAATGCCGCACAAAGGTAATTTCCCTGAAATTCACCTTGCAGGTCAGCGGTTTGCACTTCTGGAGGTGAAATTGGCGCTGGTGAATCTCATTGCGAACTTCGACATCCATCCGTCTCCCAAGACCAAGCATCCTCTACAGTTCGAAAAGGGCTTCAACATGATGATTCGCGGCGGCTTCTGGAATCAGCTCATCCCACGAAACGTATGACCGCGGAGCAACTGTGGAAAACGTCGAGGCAATGTGAATCGTGTGCAGAGAGACACTTGCGAATGAGTGGACATTTCCGTTATTGCATCTGGAAGAAAATATTTTCATTTCCATACAACAAAGTGACATTTTCCTTTTATCCTTGTTTAATACAACAGAATATTTTGAGTGAATCAGAAATGAGATGTTTGTGTGTGAACGGCCAAAGACCGTTAAAGAGTCCTCCTAAGACGTTGCTTGCAAATTGTAAATTAAAACAATATAGTCTTGAATTATGATTGATGCTCTAGCAACGACTGAAGATTATAGTATTTTACAGTCAGTAGAATATAAATAGAAAAACATATTTTTTATTGTCAATAAAATTATTTTAATACATTTATTGTTTTTTTCTCTTGAATATGGTACGATTTTATCCCTAAAATATACTCATTACATTGACAAACGTAAGTACAACAAATTTTATCATATCACATGATTCTAAATTATTTCTCTCATTTTACTACAAGAGAGCTGTTTAGAAACAGGAATCCATAGTATGCATATAGGATAGGAAAGTACGAATTTCACACTACAAATTAAAATTATTCTGGTCAATAAAATGAATATTATAATACAAAGATTGGTATTTCGATTCTACGAATCGATAGACAAATAATGAGGTATATAATTTCACCAAACTATTCTTCTGAACGTAAATATGAAATAAATATGAAAATTGTATCCATTTCATTTCCATTTGAAGCGAAGACAATCTGGATAGGATTTCTACTGTTTTCTCGCTTTTCACTCCTAACTAGTTTTAATAATTAAGCATTTCCTTAAATTAAGGAAATTCAACCATAAAATGGTTGTGGTTGTACATTGTACACAAAATCCTTTGAAAAAGTGAATAACACGTTACTAGATACACACGTACCCATTTTCCAGTGGATTTTGTTTCCGCCATTCTTTACAATGACGAATAAACCTTACGAGTTCATACACCATTATTTACATATGTCAAATACAATGAATAATAAAACATTAAATATCAGGTTACCATACAGAAAGTAGAGCTTTAAGAATCTGAAAACCACTAAATTAATCTCAAGATATACAAATATGGCCCTATAAATTATAATTATTCATTGAGTAATGCAGAGAGGAAACTTACAATATTTCTACCGTCACTCCATATACTGTTCAGACATACACAAGTCTTCTCTGAAAATGAATACGAAGTTATGTTTAGGTTTCGTTCATGCCCATGACCCAGAAGTGTGGCTGTGTTACCTTCCACACTAGAGAACTCTCTCTCTCGCGACAAGTCAAGGCTTCTAATGGAAGGTTATTGTGTCAAAAATAATCTCGTCATGTTTACCAAGACCATGTATATGTCACTTCGAGATAACCCAACCAAATATTTGAACTTGTTTCAAAACGTCCGCGGAACACGTTTCCGTCTGCTTCCTTCTCTAATTGTTTCTATACAATTGCCATGAAAGCAATGTTCCGTATATCAGTCGGTTACAGTATGTCTAAGAAGTAGAAAGACCTGGGCTCAAATTCCGATGGAACCAAATACTTTCACTTCGTGACAATTCATTTTCGGCAATAGATCTCACATTTTTTCTAACTTCGATGACTATTTTTGCTCTCGCATGGTGTCTCTCTTTAAATTTCCTTAAGTACTACTATATTCCAATCAATAGTACCATTTACTGCAACAAGAAACTGAATTTTCAAGGACTAGCCATCTGTGTCTATCAATAATTTCGACAACTTATCACCTGAACACAGGTTTATCGTTCCACGCCACGTATATTAAAGCTCAAAAGAGAACGATTTTGATGTCCTTCCTAATCGGCTCACAGTGAACGGTTTTAAACAAGTGACGTACCAAAAAAGAAAACAAAAATTAGGAGTACAGGAAATTATATATTGAATAGATCCCAGCTTTCCTTCATTCATAAAAGGGTGTATAATAATATCATTGTCATAATTAATAATTTGTGTCGTTTGAATTGTGCAGCTACAGTGGAAACGAGAAGATGGCGTCATGCGCAACTTGTCAAGATCGTGGGAAATGGAAGAGCACCTGGTCTTGCTTAGAGAACATCCTCTGGTGTGATCGTTAAAACTATTGTTTGCGATTATCAATGGAAGTATTCAATGTACTTTCATATATATACATACATATTTCTTATGATAAAAATGGAAAATATTAAAGAGGCGAAGGAGTTCTGCTATTATTTGGAATAGTATTTTACATCATAAGGCATGAGAGTCGACCTTTTCATGACGAGGCAGGAGACTTTAACCGCCGAGGTCGGTAGGCCTAGTCCGGGAATCCCATCGAGTAATGAAAAGGATATTTTGCCGTGTGAATATTTTATTCGAGACACTCTTTTTTTGCACGTTTTCCTGTAATTAAATAATATTACTACATGTGTGGTTATCACTATCATTTGTTCTGCTAGCGTGACAACATACTTGTTGATTGTTCTAATGTTGTCTTTAATGGCAACGAGAATGTAAGATTCTATCGATGTAATGGATATTTAAATAGTGGAACATTTGTTAATAATGGGCTCTCACCCTGATATATTAGAAGAAGCTCGATCCTCGACAGTTGTCATTTTTCCATTAAAACCAAAAGATATAGATGTGAAATAATATATGGAATTTTGTAAGTGGCGAAATGTGAGGGGGTAAGAAGTGTTACAGAAAACGTGCTTCTCCCATTCTTTTCATAAATGATTGGAAAGTACCGACAAACAGTTCATTAATAGAGTATTCAATTACAATTAATGTAACCAGTTCCAAATAAAATTGTTTGATAAAATTGATAAGTGTATGTTTTGAATATATTGAAAGTAGTTTGGTGATAGTAAAGTGGTAGTTTGTATCTTTGCTGAATGAAGACATAGCTTGTGTCACAAGTAAAAACGTTGAATGTGTTGACAAACGATATCTATAACAGGTTAAACAACACTACGACACAAACGATTTATGTAATGCAAGGCCCCTTGGCTTTTCAAGGGTTGCAGTTACATGATGATAAGTTGGTGACTGAAGACGGAAAAAATCATTACAGGACGCTTTTAACAGAATAGTCCTGTAAAGAACAAGTTTCTTGCCGTAAAACAGTACAACAATGAGCTACTCTCCAGATAGCCTCGAATAAAGTTATTTCATACATTTTGATACATTTATTATGGCAATGTTGAGAGAAGGACTTACTATTATTGACCAAAACAATATTCATGTATATATGAATGTAAAGATCTTGGCAAATATAAAAACTACTATATTCATGAATATCCAGATTTTGTGCCGTAATGTTTCTACAGCTCTTCTTCTGTGTGATGAATTCGCACGGGTTTTGCTAGTACTGACTTAATATTTCTTGTACCCACAAATTTTCGACCACGCTTAGATTCGAATACAGATTTTTTTCCTTTTTACGGATTTTCTGTACTCGGACCTCTACGTGGATTGATTGTCTAGTGCTTCCGGGCACGTCAACTAAAGAAGAAGAAGAAGAAGAAGAAGAAGAAGAAGAAGAAAAGAAAGAAGAGAAGAAGAAGAAGAAGAGAAAGAAGAAGGAAGAAGAAGAAGAATGAAGAAAGAAAGAAGAGAGGAAGAAGAAGAAGAAGAAGAAGAAGAAGAAGAAGAAGAAGAAGAGAAGAAGAAGAGAAGAAGAAGAGAAGAAGAAGAGAAGAAGAAGAAGAAGAAGAAGAAAAGAAAAGAAGAAGAAGAAGAAGAAGAAGAAGAAGGAAGAAGAAGAAGAAGAAGTAAGAAGAAGAGAAGAAGAAATTAGTCCCGTAAGCGTATCCAAGTTTTTTCACGGTAGTTGTTGTGATTTTCCCTCGCAATAGTGAATACAACACCGACCTACCGTCAGACTACGGAGTTTTTTCCGAACCAAGTTATCTCCTCCAGCAGGGCACCGCCCCAACCGGGGCAAGCCCTTAAGCTCCCACCCCGTCTTCCGCACTTGTGGCTTGTTTATTGTTCTTGTGAGTTTACCCAGCCACTCTTACAATTCAGAATGGACCCAATGTTGTTTGGTATGCTTTACTATATATGTACATGACAAAATCGACAAATATGAATGTTTTTACTTGAATGTCTCCACTAAATGGACCCACTTCCACTGCTGGGAACCCCACACGCAGCCCTGAGGACACGTTATTAAGAGCCAGGCTAGGACAACACGGAGTTTAAAGAACGAGCAAGTAACCGTAAAGTAGGGTCGTATTTTTGAAAACGTGATACCCTAAAGAGCCAAAAACCCAAGGCACAACCATGAGTATTGGAAATGAAAGAAAATATGGAACCAATCATAAGTACGGGACTCGGTCCCGGGCACACTACTAAATAAGGACAACCGGAGTCACTCATAGTTATTAGATGGTTACTGCTGCTCAATGGCAGGATTTCCACATTTAAGTGAGTTTGAGCATGGGTGTAGTCGCCGCAGAAGTGGGCATAGCCCATATCAGACGTCGCGGACGAAATTGGATTTCCGTGCGGCTTACTTCACGAGTGTACCGGCCGGATCCAGTAAACATCAAACCTTCGGTTAGTCGCTCTGCCGCAAAGAGATCGTGTGAGAACGGGATAGACACGTCGAGGAGAATCATCACATATGACAGAAGTGCAATCACTCCGCAAATGCTGAAGATTTCATTGGCTGGGCCTCGACCACGTGTCAGCGTGTAAACGCATTCAACAGATTATTATCGTATGGCGGTTCCGAGCCAATGGTTCACCCTGTGATGATGGATGATGATTGATGATGAGATGATGATATAGTTACCTTTGAAGAACTCCCACGATACCAAAGCTTTACTCCTCGCCATTGCACACGTCAACACGTCATTGGAACTGTTGATGACAGGAAACACGTTGCCTCGGTCTGACGAGTCTCGTTTCCACATTGATTCCGAGCGCGATAACGTGTGACAAACTCAAGAATCCGTGGGACCCTGCATGTGAACAGGCCATTTTCAAAGCTGGTGGAGGGCTCTGTGATGGTATGGGGCGTGTGCATTGGTGTGATATGGGACCCCTGATACGTCTAATACGATTCTGACAGGTGACACGTACGTAAGCCATCCTGTCTGATCACCTGCACCCATGTCCATTGTGCACAGGACCTGCGACAGCCATAACGTTCAGAATAGCACAGAGTGCTCCAAAACACCCGTCTGCAATTTAAACACTTCCACCGGCCATCAAAATCCCTACGCATATGAACATTATGAAGCATATCGTGGAGCCTGCAACGTGCTTTCAGAAGAGATCTCTACCTCTCGTACTCTTACGAAGTTTATGGACATCCGTGCAAGTTTTCAGGTCAATTACTTCCAATATTACTGGAGACATTAGTCGATGTCCGAGCCACGTCGTGTTGCCCGGCATTCTGCTTGCTCGCGGGGCCCTGACACGATTTTTA